ACCAAGGATGTGGCTGCAGTGAATCTGGGCTGTTCTCTTTCCTCCTCTTTCCTTCCCCCTCCCTGTTCCCTTTTTTCCTCACTCTTCTTTCCTGGCCTTGTCAGTCATCTGCTGCTTCAAGTCAGTGATTGCCACCACAGTTCTCTGACTGGAAAACTCTGGGGAAGGTAGGATACTGTCAGCCTAAGGCAGATTTCTGCTACGAGGCAAAACCGGAGATGCTCTCTGGAGGAGTCAGGGGAGCAAGACGGCCTGAAATGGAGGCTAGTCCGAGGGTGCAGTTTTGCAGTATATTTAGTCTGTTAAAGTCTGCTAGTGAAAAGGAAGAGCCAGGCTTTTCCTTGTCCTGCATAGTTGTTCTTGCTGCATCCCTTCTGCTAAACCCGCCATGTGGATCGGTGTAATCGTATCAGCTTGTTTTCAGACTGAAATGTAATGGCAGGATTGGAAATGGAGACAGTTACATTTCAGCTGGATCAGAGTTATCTCACCTGTGCAAAAAAAAAAAAGGGAGGGAGAAACACATCTCTGGGCTGGGGTGGAGAGATTGGGTCCATCCCTTCTTGCCGAGGTGTGGTCTTAGTGCTTCAAGTGAAGATGGAGAACTTGGGGGCTCTTTTGAGGACTACGTGTAGGAGGCTGAGGGGCGAGGGAAGGGAGAATTGAAGTAAAACTTGTGCTGTTCAAAGAACTGCTGAAGCCATTAATGATCTTTCTGAATGGCCTCACATGCTGTAGAAAGCCAGCTATGTTGTATCACGTCAATGCACTCGGAAGTGTCTTATCTGTCACCTAGGTTTGCATAGCTTCAGTGTTTTATGTTGGATTCTTGTTATATATTATCTGAAATTAAATGCTCCTAATGACCAAATTTCTGTTCTTGCATATGTACATAGAAATGTAATCAATTCACCCTTAATCCTCTCTGTGATCATACAAAACAGATTTAGATCTGGGAGGCTCTCGTGACGAGGTGTGTTTCTTCAGTCTGTTAGCTGTTTTCTTTGATCCTCCTGTGGTATTTACAAATACGGAGTTATGGTCATCAGAACCTGCAAATACCATTGCAATAATGGTTCCAGTAAAAGGGCAGAAAGAATCGTCCCCGTTACTACTTATTCAATATTTTTCTTTTTAAATATATGAAAAATTTACTTGCCATTTTGGATACAGTATTGCATTGGCCTCCTGTCAGTGATTTGTTCGTCATGACCCCAAGTTTTTCAGGCTGCCTGGGGAAGGGGTCGAGTCCCTATCCCTGGGGGTATTTAAAAGTGTCCTGGTTTTGGCT